ATATAGATAGTGCGTGTGTGTGTGTGTGTGTGTGTGTGTGTGTGTGTGTGTGTGTGTGTGTGTGTATAAAGAATCGTGACAACTGCAGGATCTGTACTATACGTGGTTTTGCTTGGGTTTGAGTCATCAAAACAAACACACCACTTAGAAGGTTAGAGAGAAAGAGAGCGAGGACAGTGTGTACTAACACGTTGGAGACTGGTGTGTCTGTGTATTCCTGTTTAAAGCACATTCATAATTGGTCTCGCTGATGCTGAGTCATACACCTCCTCACCTACAACGACATGTGCTTGTGTGTGTGCGCACAAATGTGTGCATTTGCCAAGCATAAATTTATATTTAGTGTCCGCTGTGTGTTAGGCGAGAGGAATGTTTGCATGAAACGTGAGATACAGTAGATTCCCTGCATTCTAATTTATGTGAGCCTGACTGTGCGGACGCACACCAGCCTGTGGACATGCGTATGGATAAGTGGGGCCAGTGTGAACTATTCATTTAATCTGAAAGTCAGACAATACACACAACTGAGGATGAATCTGAGATGAGCATCATAACACATATCCATATCCATACATACATAGAGAGAGAGAGAGAGAGAGAGAGAGAGAGAGAGAGAGAGAGAGAGACCCACACCCACACACACACACACACACACACACACACACACACACGCAAAATAATCTCACAGGAAGGTAAAGAAGAAAAGGACGATTGGAAAAATGGGCCCAATCCAAGTGCGCACGTCAGGAGACACAAATGCCCCTTTTGAGGAAGGTGGGAAGTATGATTTTTTGTGTTGTAATGAACCAGAACAACGAACAATCTATCGGAATCAGCCATCTTTGTTGTTTACATTCACCTCAAATGTTTTGACGTCGCAACTGGAATAATCCAAATGGGATAAATCCAGTGGCGGGCAATGAGTTTTGGACCTAGGCGTCAGCGGGTATTTATTGTTCTAATCCACCTCTTAATAACGCCATAACCCGTTTGATCAGTCTCCACTCAGTGACGGTGTGAATGTTGGTATTTATAGTTGTTTGTCTCTATACCCGACCCCCCCCAAAAAAAGAAAAAATCTTGAAAGTGATTTTCTAACCATAGCCCGATATCGTCCTCCATCGGAAATCAAGCTTTGGCCTCACACAGAGCTGAACCAATGAGAGGCATACCCGTCAACTTGTACGTTTTCCCCGTATTTTTTACGTTTTTTTTTATCATTTCAAATCATGTACGGCGTATTACAATTTTTGTACGGGAAAAAAAAATTGTGAACCAATCTCACAAAGACCATTTTGGCTTAAATCCAGATCGTCTCACCTGTTGGTAGCCAACAACAATGCCGTCGTCGATCGCTACTATTGTAATGGCAAACCAGCAAAAGTAATCCTCAATCGTATATTTTTTTTTCATTGCTGCATACGGTAGGATTGATAAAGCATGATGTGCGCATGCGCGGTAAGCCGTTGTAAGGTTTTTTTTGTTGCTTTGGAAGGGGAATCGTAATCATTTATAAGGACAGCTATTAGCCGAGGTTGACAGGTATGGAGAGGATGCAGAAACTCACTCTTCAGGCCTGAGGGATGTCTTTCCGTCATTAAAAAAACCAAAAAACGAGCAAACTGCTCAATTAAATGAAGTCATGATCTTTTTTTTTTTCTCAGCCCCTCACATATCGGTCAAGCCCCCGCGGTAGCCCAGGAGAGAGAAAAAAATGGCGCCCTGTCTGATAGTATACAGAAATGAATGTGTACATACAGGTAAAGGATCTGGAGGCTGGTCTAAGCGTAATGTAGAGGACAGCATGGATGGACTGAGGGGAAAGCTAGGACTGCTTGGATTGCGGCTCTTGCGGCGAGAGCGTCTGGTGGAGTCCCTCCGGCTCTCTCTCCCCGGCCCTTCAGGCTCCTCCTCAATGACCAGGATCTTATCATCGCTGAGGTAACGTAGTAGGGAGTTGTCTGAATCTGTGTGGAGGAAAAATGGCTACAATTAAATGATTAGACAGGCTCAACAGAATGGATGGAAGAGGGAGAAAAATGAAAGAGCCCCGCAGTTAGGATAGAGCTGAGGGAGAAGTCCATGTTGGAAAATGACACGTCCCATTGATACTTGGATACAGCTTTCGATAAAAACCAAAAGAACAGAAACTGATAAAAATTCTCCAAAGCTGCATTATCTGGTCGATGATAGCTCTACGGCGAGGGACATCCTGTTTATCTGAGGCACTGATAATGCAGATTTAGAAGTCACTGCTAAACTGTAGACTGTCACAGAAAGTTCAAATCCGATCATGTATTCATTGTTCATATATTTAAATGTGAAGACCTAAATCTGACAAAAGAATGAGAAGTAGAAAAAAAAATTGCACTGGAACCAGACCGTCTTATTTTATTTTAATGTTATTCATAGACTTTCTGGCAGGAGAGTTGAGGTGAATACAGGTCAATTGTCATGCAAACTGTTCGTCACATTGAAATACCTTCGTTTTTTTTTTTTCAGCAGTTATATAAATGCAATGCCCTTGCATTTATGCTTGTTTGTCAGCATGTCGGATACATAACTTTCAGATATGTATCCATACACAACCACACCACTATGAACAACCTGAAGATGGGATGTATTGCACCAAGTAGGAAGCAAAGCAAGCACTGGTCCCGACTTGTTTGTTTTTACAGTGAGGGGCAACGTTTGCATGTATACGTGTTAGTATGCATGTACCTCGGCTCCCTCTCTTGCCCATGCTGGGTTCCTTGGCCTCGGCCATCCAGTTATATTCAGGAGGCATGGACACAGGTCTGAGGTCACCTGGAACAATCCAACCAGCAATCAGCGAGTCGGCTAAAGTGGAACGTGGGTATTCGGGCTGTTGGCAAGCAGCGATCAAGAGAGTGACTGAGAAACGGTTGGTGGGTGGACAAGGGAGAGGTAGACAAGGTGTGTGCAGGTGAGGGACTAGAATGGCATGCGAGATGAGGGCCACTTGACCCACATTTTTGAAGTTACCCTTCCTGTATGTTAAGTTCACTGACGATTAAACTCCCATTTGGCAGTGACTGTGATTCCACTCACCCCAAAGCATTTAGCATGGACTCAAAAGTAAAAATATACCATTATACGACAAAATATACTGGATACAGTATATTTAAAGGTCCCATGCCATCAAAATCCAACTATTTTCACTGCTTTATACATAACATACTGTGGGTCCAAATGAGTCTGTGACATGGTTTTAAGTTTGCCGATTGTATGAAATAACCAATAAAAGTCGGAGTGCTTGCAAAACCAGCCGATCAGATGTTGGCATTGTTGCGATGTAGATTGGCTACTCATTATTGGAGAAAAAGCCATTCACCGTATGGGTATGAGTCATCAACGCTTGGTGATTTCTGCTTCACACTGATAGTTAGGCACCAAGATATTACTATCTACCAATAAGCTTTAAATATTGAATATTAATGAGAGATCCAGGTGTCCGAGATGCCCGGTGTTTAACACTAACTGCAAAGAAAAACCAACCACTTATCTTGCTAATCTGATAAAAGGACATCATACAGGAGTATGAAAATAATAATTACGAAAATAATGAAAATGTTACAATTTCATCAATGGGCTGAAATAAAATATGGTACGTTAAAAATATTATAGACCTTCTAATGAAACTGTAAAATTTGAATCCAGATTTTGCATTTAGCATTAAACATAAAGGTAAAATCTTTTAACATCTTCAGAAAATAACACCACTAGATTGCGTCGTTTGCATATGTAGGGTCTTACTACATTTTCCTCCCTTGCATCCTTACGAAATTATGAATTGGATGATGGATGCACCTGTATGTGCTCTGGTCGAGTCTGAACACAGTGCAGTCATCATCTCATCCCATCAACCCACTGCCTTGATTTTAAACATCCTTCCTTCTTATACAGCACATTCGTTTCGACTGGGTTGCTGTTGCCAAGAAAACAAATGAGCTCAGCGCTTTGGTGCTTTGGAGGGCTCAGCATCATTCCAATGATAAGATTCAGCAGTCTGGTACCACTGGAAAAGTCCAGCACTGCAGCGGGTCAGACACGAGAAACGGAATACAAAATGTGTAAGTGTTTCATCGGATGAAAATGATGAAAGGTGTTACAGTATGACACTGGGATATTTACAAAATTAAAAAAAGAAATCAGTAAATTATATTACAGGTATACTACTTTTACAGCTGTTTCTTTCATCCCTGTGATTTGTTTGTGCTTTAAATCTTTTGTTGACTGTTGTCTTTGGACAATTGATTCGTGCATAGCAGAATCCCATACAGATCCCTCCTTTCATTGGTAGTCCAGACACAGTCCAGACTCCCGACTCCTGTGAATGCATATTAAGGCAGTTGTTTGTCGTGTGACCCCGGCCTTTCACATCATGACGGCCTCTTGAGAGTCTCCCATGCAGCAAGAGGATGTCTTGAAAGCTTTCTGGGACAGTGGGAAAAGACCCGAGGTGGCAAGGGAGAGAGAGGGCTTGAAACTGTGCTCATGGATTTATGTTTGATTTTAGGGCATGACAGCTCAGCGTCAGGACACTTCTCTATTGAGAGTTAAAGAAAGCATAGTATCCTCAATATTAGTGCCAGAAAGTGAACATTATTCTGATGCCTGTTTGTTCTTTAGTCCATGCAACACCATTCTAAACAAGTTCCAGGACATCCACCCGGTCTTTTTTGTGCAGTGCTGCGTCATGCTGATGGGCAAACAGCATCAAAAGCCTTCTTGGCAGAGGTGTTAAACAGCCATTAGAGCAGGTGATGAACGCATGGGGAAATGATGACAACAAAAATATACAAGTGAGGACATTTGCGGTGGAGCACATGCTGTTTTAATGGAGAAACAAGGGTTTGGAACCACTCAAGTAACACAAAATCAAACCTTCTTACCGTGTGTGGGAGTCTTGTCCCGCCTGCGCACACCTGTACTACGGCTTCTGTCATATTCAGAGCCTGGTGGTCCGTCTCCTTCCAAAAGAGAGAAGTACTGACCACTGTCCTGGTCCAAGTAGTAGCTGACAGCCTCTGACCCTTTCGAACCAGATTGGGAGGTCACACTGTACCGGGTGATGTCATCACATGAAATCAAACCCAACTCCTCCCTGAGAACATCACACCATTTTAGTCACAGCCCGCAGGGAGATCAGCAAAGAGATCGTTCGTTTCCAGACCCTCACCTGGGGCTGTAGAGTCCAGAGACAGGGGAAAGGATGTAGACATCCTGGGCATCCATTTTGGACATGCCTAAAGTTCCACCTGGTGTAGGCGAGGTGCTGGTAGGGCTGGTGGGGACCGGCTGTTAGGAAATAGATTAAAGACTGGTTGTGTTGTAATTGAGTCTCCTGGAGCACAAGTTGTAAAAGGTAAGGGTTAGATATTTTCCACCTTCAAAGCATACAAAAAAAAAACATTGACGGGTTCTCATCAGTTCGTGAATCGCAAACAAGTGACATATTTCCGCCCACACAGAAGCTGCCACGTTGTATAGGCTCCGACTATGCAGCCTCTCCCATGTTAGCTATTCTCTCATTTTGTTTCAAGCCTTTTTACACACATGGTTCTCTGTGTCTGTTTCTATGACAACCGCTGCTCTCACTGAGGGCAGAGGAACGTTTGCTTGACCTACTACCTCGGCATGACTCAAGGACATGTCATTTGTCATTGGGTCCGCCATGTGAGCAAGGATGCCTAGCTGATGTGATGTAGCTTGCATGTGAATTTTGAACCAAATACCATATACAGATCTACCGAAACAAGTATTATAAACGTGTAACTAGTGGTCTTTAGGAGTGTTCATTTTCATCTGCAGGCCTTATTTTTGCACTTTCATTTTCAGTCTCCCTCTGTTCATAGTCAGACCGCTTTCCAAAAAACGATGCAAACTAGTCAGGAAGAAACAAGGGATGTGGTGAACCGGGGGTGGGGGTGGGGGGGAGTAAATAGGTCAAAGAGAGAGAGAGAGACTCACAGGAAGGTAAAGAAGAAAAGGACGATTGGAAAAATGGGCCCAATCCAAGTGCGCACGTCAGGAGACACAAATGCCCCTTTTGAGGAAGGTGGGAAGTATGATTTTTTTGTGTTGTAATGAACCAGAACAACGAACAATCTATCGGAATCAGCCATCTTTGTTGTTTACATTCACCTCAAATGTTTTGACGTCGCAACTGGGATAATCCGAATGGGATAAATCCAGTGGCGGGCAATGAGTTTTGGACCTAGGCGTCAGCGGGTATTTATTGTTCTAATTCACCTCTTAATAACGCCATAACCCGTTTGATCAGTTTCCACTCAGTGACGGTGTGAATGTTGGTATTTATAGTTGTTTGTCTCAATACCCGACCCCCCCCAAAAAAAGAAAAAATCTTGAAAGTGATTTTCTAACCATAGCCCGATATCGTCCTCCATCGGAAATCAAGCTTTGGCCTCACACAGAGCTGAACCAATGAGAGGCATACCCGTCAACTTGTACGTTTTCCCCGTATTTTTTACGTTTTTTTTATCATTTCAAATCATGTACGGCGTATTACAACTTTCATATGGGGGGAAAAAAAAAATTGTGAACCGATCTCACAAAGACCATTTTGGCTCAAATCCAGATCGTCTCACCTGCTGCTAGCCAACGACAATGCCGTCGTCGATCGC